GAAGTGAAAATTAATCTATTCCCTAAAAATTCTCAGGGAAAGAATAACAAGTTACTTGGAGTCCTGCAATAAAATATTGACTTTTTTTTTCTTGATTTCTCTCCTCTCAAGCCATAGAAAAAAGTGTGTGTGTGTGTGTGTGTGTGTGTGTGTGTGTGTGTGTATTTAAAATCATTGGACAAGAAGACATAGACTCGCATTTGACAGAAAATAATGTTAAAAATATCTAGTTAATTGAAATAATTTTTTTCTTTTATAGAGTAGGGCTGGAAAGAGTGAGTTTTGAGAGATTTAAGTCAGATTTCCACAGTCACAAATTTTCTAATGAAACCAAAACTCAAAATGAAACTATGCATAAATGTGTAATAAGTAAAATATTTTGCCCTAAACTATTTCAACAAAAAGACAAGTTTCATATCATTTTAGCAAATGACAATGCTTTCCAGTAAGGCTGCTTGTCAAGCAATGACACTTTATTATATATCCTATACCTTTAGAAAGAAAGCTAAATGGAATAAATTTATTATACAGTTGTTAATTCTTGGTGACGATAATTGTTTTACTTTGTAGCTTGCATTTTTACTTTTAAACTTTTAGAGACTTCATGCATCAGCCTATGTCGGGGGGTGCATATTGACAGTAATGCATAACATTCAAAAGCATAATGTTGGTGACAAGAGAAAGAATAGTAGTTCCCACTCTTTAGTTGGGACTTTTTGAATTGCTTTGTTTCTAAAAAGGCTGTACCATAAATTCAGAGGTTCACAAGAAGCTGACCAAAGGATCTGGGACGAATGAAAACTTAGTCACAACACCTTCTCAGAAGTGTTTTCAAAGAACTTTAACCTTAAAAAAATGTCAGTCTTACTTTCCATTGCATCAATGGTTGTTCAAGTCTGAATTTCTAATTTATAATACTTTATGGTAGTGCTTGAGAAACACAAATATGTCCCTTGTGACTCAGTGTTCACATTCTTGAGAGGCATTTGAATCACTGCGTAACTGAAACCAAACCAAGTCAACCTGTGTCACCAGGAAGGTCTGCTTAGGAAACCCTCAGAACACAGGAGGATAGGGCTGGATGGAAACTGTCATAGCACATCCCTCAGAGAGTTGTAATAATGACGTTATTCTGTTTATTCTTGTTTCAAGTCAGTGGTGGCAGTTCCCGTGCTCTGCTTTCTCATCCTTATGCTATATTAAAATTAAACTTGTGTTATGGTGGGTCATTGCTTTATTCTCACTTCAATAAACTGATTTATTCTTTTATTAAGTGATAAAATAGGGACAAGATAAAATAGTGAACAAGATGTGTCCCCTGCCCTCACAGAGCTCATAGTCAGGTAGGAAACAGATACACAAATGGGCAATTATGAATCATCGTAGGATACATGAAGAAAAGTGTGTCGTGTGCAGTAGTAAGGGTGCTGAGCTCATATGTGCAGCTTTGGAGAAAACTTCTCATGAAAGTAACAGTTAAGCTGCAGTCTTAAGGATGAATAAGAAGTATTCGGGCCCAGTAGAAAGTCAAAGCATACTTGGTGGAGATAAAAGAGTACATGAAGATGGACACTCCAGTGCATGGGATGCTTGGAGAAATACAACGCACTCCATATGAGTTGGATAAAAAACCAAGAGGAAATTTCCAGCCAAGATGGAAGCATAAGTAGATATGCTCTGCATCCTCACATAACCAAAAGAAGGACAGCAACCAATTTAGAAAGAAAGAACAACCAGAACTGCCGGAAGATCCAACTGTATGGAAGTCTGACGACCAAGGAGTTAAAGAAGAAATATTCATCCAGACTGGTAGGAGGGGTGGAGACGGGCCGCTGGATGGGCGGAGAGGCCTCATGGCAAGGCAGCAGACTAGACGGATGAAGTGCAGGCTGGCGGACAGCGGAGTCCCACATTTGTGTGTGGATAAGTCAGGAAGAAAAAAATGGTTTGTGAGACAGACTGCACAACCCAGCGTTCTAATACAGGACACTAAAGCCTCACAGCCTCTGACTGAAAGAAACCTGTGGGGGTTGCAGCAGTGGAAGAAACTCCCAGCCTCACAGGAGAGTTTGTTGGAGAGACCCACTGGGTCCTAAATGTACACAAACCCACCCCCTGGGAATCAGCACCAGAAGGGCCCAATTTGCTTGTGGATAGTGGGGGAAGTGACTGAAAAGGGAACAAGAACCAAATAAGTATTGTTTTTTCCTCTCTGACCCCTCCACCACATACGGTGCCACAACACAGCAGAGTGGGTTGCCTCGCCTTGGTAAATACCTAAGGCTCTGCCCCTTAGAACCTAACAGGTGCACAGAGACAAAGAAATATGGCCTAAATGAAAGAAGAGATCAAAACTGCAGAAAAAGAACTAGGCAATGAGGAGATAGCCCACCTATCAGATGCAGAGTTCAGAACACTCATGATCAGGATGCTCACAGAAATGCTTGAGTATGGACGAAAAAGAGGAAGATGTGAAGGCTATGCAAAGTGAAATAAAGAAAAATATGCAGGGAAGCAACACCGAAGGGAAGGAAACCAGGACTCAAATCAATGATTTGAAACAGAAGGAAGAAATAAACATTCAACTGGAACAGAATGAAGAAACAAGAATTCAAAAAAAAAAATGAGGAGAGGCTTAGGAACCTCCAGGACAACTCTAAATGTTTCAACATCCAAATCATGGGGGAGCCAGAAGGAGAAAATGAAGGGCAAGAAACTGAAAACGTATTTGAAAACATAATGAAGGAGAACTTCCTCAATCTGGCAAAGGAAATAGACTTCTAAGAAGTCCAGGAAGCTGAGTCTCAAATAAATTGGACCCAAAGAGAAACACACCAAGACACTTCGTGATTACATTACCCAAGATTAAAAATAAGGAAAGAATCTTCAAAGCAGCAAGAGAAAAGGAGAGAGTTACCTACAAAGGAGTTCCCATAAGACTACCAGGTGATTTCTCAAAAGAAGCCATCCAGTCAAGAAGGGGCTGGAAAGAAATATTCAAAGTCATGAAAGTCAAGTACCTACACCCAAGGTTACTCTATCCAGCCAAGCTATTGTTTAGAAATGGAAAGGCAAATAAAGTGATTCCCAGATAAGGTCATTTTAAAGGAGTTCACCATCACCAAGCCCTTATTATATAAAATGTTAAAGGGACTTAGCTAAGAAAAAGAAGATTGAAACTAGGAACAGTAAAATGACAATAAACTCACAACTATCAGCAACGGAACCTAAAAAAAACAAAAACACACTAAGCAAACAAGTAGAACAGGAACAGATCAAGGAAATGGAGATCACATAGAGTCTTATCACTGGGGAGGGAGTGGGGAGAAAATGGGAGAAAAGATAGTGGGAATAAGAAGCACTAATGGTAGGTACAAAGGTGACAGGGGAGGTTAAGAACAGTACAAGAAATGGAGAAGCCAAAGAACTTACATGTAGGACCCATGGACATAAACTAAGGGGAGAAATGCAGGTGGGAGGGAGGGTGCAGGGCAGAGGGGATAAAGGGGAGGGGGAACGAGACAACTGTAATAGTATAATCAATAAAATATACTTAAAAACAAAATGTGTGACTGTTCAAGGCAAAAAATGTCAAGAGCAGGAGTGAGAATGCTCAGGCTGCAGCAGGGCACAGCATCTGGGTCTTGAGGGTGAGTGTAAATCATGGGAGAGTTTTGCATTGTGGCTGAAATGCAATGGGACACTACAGCGTGTTTTGAATGAGAAGGAAGTGATCAGATTCGAACTTTGGAAAAATCTCTGTAGTTGTACCAGTGAGAATGGATTGAGAATAGAACACAATAGCAGAGGCTAGGACACCAATGAGGAGATGGGGCAAGTTGCTCAGGAAAAAATTAGAGCATCTGGCTTAGAGATGAAGCCATAGGAAGAAGAGGATGGAATGGTCAGTAAGATCACAAGTGAACGTGGAGCACAGTCCTTACTTTGAAGCAAAGTGGGGCAGTCGTAGGGCTTTAGGGTGCCACCCAAGTTTGTGACTGGACCAATGAGATGGGTGGTGGTGACTTCCACTGGAGATGGAAATAACAGCAAAAGAAGAAGCCCTGGAAATAAGATCTGGGAGTTGTGGGAGAAAAAAACAATCGGTGATGAAAAAGTTAAGTTTGAGGCACCAGAGGGTCATCCATGTGGAGGTGTGTAGCAAGCAGCTGGATATCTGAGTTTAAAACCTAGAAAAGAGCTTTAGAATGGATTACGAAAGTGTGAATTATCTGCATCAAGATGGCAGCTGGGACAAGTAACCGTGGGCTCTGAGTGAGAAGAGAAGTGGAGCCCCGGCAGAGAGACAGAGGAATGCCACCCTTGAGGTCTGAGAACCAGCAGAGCAGCCCCCAAAGGAGGGAACTTGAGGTGTGTGGTGCTGTGGGAGGCAACTGAGGAGGAGCTTCATGAAGGAGGTCTGACCTGGTCAGGAGGGCCACATACTATGGAGGTGTCACCTGAGACGTGTAATGAGAAGTGTCCCTTGGTGCATTGACTGCAATCCTTGGCCAAGTGAGCTTCAGTACAGGGTCGTGGTGACAGGCCGGACAGCCCGAGGGTGAAGGACAAACAGGAAGTGGGGATGTGGAAATAGGGAGTGCAGGGCGCTATTTAAAGAAGGTTAGCTAAAGAGAGGAGGAAGGAGAGAGCAAAGGTGCCACAGAGGGATGTGGAATGGTGGGCATAATTTTTTAAGATGGGAGAGACTTGAGCTTGTTTACTGATGGAAACTGCAAATTGAGATGAGTGGTTAAAGATACAGAAAACAGAAGAAAACTTATGGAGCAAGGTCCCTGAAAAGTGGGGTCTTTTAAAAAGATTATTCTCCTGACAAGCTGGGGTCGAAGATAGGGCTTATACAGGAGAGTGGCCAATTTGTTCAATGTTAATGTGTTTTTCCACTTTTTGTGGCTCTGGTCAGGCATAGTTTATAGTGAGTGACACAGGCTAAAACAAGTCATTTCATTGTGTCCCCTCCTCCATTTCTCCCTCTGTAGTGGGCCCTGTGGACTTTCTTCACAAGTTTTATCATCGCTTTGGGGAGAGAAAAATGGAGTCTGTGAAAGGTTTTATGAATTAAAAGTTGATGGTTTGGACGAGGCTGAGGTAATGTCTGTAATATAATATACAATTCTAGAAGAGCTTCCTTTATAACATAAGGGTATATTAAAGAACACCACAAGTGATAAATAAAATCGAGGTTTTCTGTGGTGGCCGAGACTCTCCGTCTGGGTGACGTGCAGTGATGGCTGTCCTTTCTGATCCAAGCTTCTCACTGGAGCGGCAGCTCTGCGAAGCAAGCACAGAGGTAAGAACACACACCAACTACTGATTGCCTCCTGAGTGCTGGACACAAAGCACATATTATTTTTATATTTTTACAAGAATCTTATAAGTTAGATATTATGATTTTCAATTTACAGATCAGGAATAGCTCAGAGAGAATAAATTTCTACCAAGAACTAGTAAGTGGCTAAACTAACACTAGAACTCTGGTTTGTCTATTTCAGAGTGTGAACACTGTGCATTGAGCAACATGATGTACCTTTCAGGAATACCTAATTTAAGATTAGTTTTACTCCACCCTGGCTGGTGTGGCTCAGTGGATTGCATTGCTGTCCTGTGAACTGAAAGGCTGCCGGATTGATTTCCAGTCAGGGCACCTGCCTGGGTTGCAGGCCAGGTCCCCAAGTGGGGCATGCACGAGGCAACTGATGGACCTTTCTCTCCCTCTCTTTTTCCCTCCCTTCCCCTTTCCATAAAAAATAAAAAATAAAATAAAGAAATACCACAAACTGAATGGCTGAAACAGAGAAATTTATTGAAAAAAATGATAAAAACATAAAATTAATTTTATTCCACATTTTCCCCATAGCCATGTGTTATTATGCAATGAAAATATCTTCTCTGTAAGACAACAATAAATGCAACATGGGGAAAAATGGGTGTAAAAGGAGAGAGTGTTGGAGGAAAGCCAGATCCAGAAACATAGAGATTAATTGTAGTAGAAAAAAATTACCTCCAGCTCCACATTCCTATGGCTCACGCATTTGTTCAAGCTGTTCATTTCTTCATTTAATAAATGCTATTTTTACCCATCAGGGCACATGCCCAGGTTGCAGGCCAGTTCCTAGCAGGAGCCACTTCCCAGCAGGGGATGCACCAGAAGCAACCATACATTGATGTTTCTCTCCTTCTCTCCTTCCCTTCCCTTCTAAAGATAAAGAAATAAAATTTATTAAAAAATAAATAAAATAAATGCTATTTTTAAATGTACAGACAGAGGGTTTTTTGTCAAGATAGAGCTAAAAGTAATCATACAATTAAGTACTCAATTCCAATTATGACAAGCACTGCAAAGAAGGAGTTTGGAGACTGGAGAGGGAAGATGATAAAAGGAAGGGTAAAACTCAGTTTAGAAGTCAACTTAAGTTATTTTTATGCAAAGCCCTTGGAAAATGAGTAGTGACGAACCAATCTCCTGGGGCATGAGGAGCAGTCCTGTTCCAGGCAGAGGGCGGGGCAGCAAAGGGAAGGTCCGGAAGCAGAGAGAGAAGTGGCGCACAGGCCCACGGGCCGTGTGGCTGGAGGATGAAGTTGGAGGAGGCTGGCCAGGTGGGCAGGGGCCAGAACATACAGGGCCTTCTAGGTCACATTGAGTGTGGAGTCACTTTTTGTCATTGTCCATTGATTTCACTTGCTCAGGATCCATTTTCCTTTTGTCAGGTAGTAACACTCTGATTTATCCTTGGGGAGGCTCAGGGAGATCTGTCTCGTCTCCCTTCAGCTTATGGGAGGACACGTGTTAAATCTTGTCCAATCAGAGAATAACCTCCGCCTCTCCCTACAGGAATAATTAAGTGGAAACATACAACCCAAGTCAGGCCAACCAGAACTGGTAAGACTAACTTTCAGCCTTTTGCTGGTGATGCTAAGGAAATGTATTTTCTTTCTACTGGGACTGTGGGTCCTATGGGATGGAAACCTAAACGTTTGGGAACCACAAGGGAAAAAGCTCATTTTGTTTTAAGGGAAATGTTTCTCCTGCAGTGTAGCCAACATGGAGAGAAGTGGACAAATGAAAAGGGAGTCCAGTTGACATCGTTGAAACCATCTATTCCATAACTTTTCGGTTTTGTGAACCAATAAATTCCTCTTATCAAGGCAAGCCTGTTTGAGATATATTTTAGCCATTTAAATCTGGAAGGGCTTTGGATTACTTTTTTTAAAAAAAATACAGTATAAGAAATTAAGTATGGGTAGTACCAGACTCTAAAATGTGGAATTAGTTGAATATAGGTAGGAAAGAGGCAATGAGGACCACTCTTTTTTTAGCTAAGAAAGTTATACCTCAGTTGATTAACCTGCTATTTGGGGTATCTTGAGCTAGAGCATAGGCCTATTGGCACAGGACATTAGAGGATACGTTTGGGAAAACAAATCGGCAATGTGTTGGTTTCTTCTTGTGAGGCTTGATGAAGACCTTTATGAAAGTGACAAGCTGTAGTTAAAGCCGATTTGTCAAAAGCAGTGAAAACACTCAGAATAACCCTTATCTAGACATTCAAAACAGCTGAGGGTCAGAAGCATTTTACCTCTTTGGAGTTTGAAAACTCAGCTCTCTGCTCCAATCTACATTTTGTGCTAGCAAATGTCGGGGGTGGGGTGTAGAATGAAATTGGAAAACAAGATTGAAACCAGGAGCACTACTCATCCCTGCTGACCGAACACCAAGGTCAAAACCCCTCTGGCATCTAGACTCAAAGATTAGGCATCAACACTAACTCTGGCTTTTGTTGCTAACTCACTGAGTTTACTGGAAACAAATAGGTTGTAGAGTTTACTAAGCTTTTAAGGAACTTGGGTTTCCAGAGAGACAAATACTCATAACCTCAGGGCTGTGATTGTTCAACCCCCAAGGCAATCCTCAGTCAGGATTCTAAAGCCACACTAACAGGAACAGCTCTATTAGTGGGGTATAATCATTAGAAAATAAATTCTCCCCAGGGCCTTTCTCAGATGTGGTGCTACAAGACAAATTACAAGGGAAATCATTCCAGAAGACTCTTGAGAGAGCAGACAGAAGGGCTCCCCAACAAATGCACTCTGAAGCCAAGACAAGGTAGCCCTCTGCTCCCGTTCAGCAGGATAATGTCTATGTGGATAGTATATTGCACGTCACCCACTTCCCATTTCCCCTTTTTAAGTAGAAGTTTTTATGTTAGTTCTTTTTTTCCTCCTCATAAATGTATATATTATGCTTACTGGGGACAGTTCAATGTATCATTTTTCTGTCGATTTCTGAACCATGAGGAAGGTACCTTAACAAGTAAGTCTGAACTCACAGTAGATGCAGTAACTGGATAAAACTTGAGTGGTGCTGGTACATATGTTTTTGATTCCATAGGATATTATTGCTTGATGTAAACCTGGGGAATTTTGGATTTTGGGGTATAAAAAAAGATGTGTGGATGTTGTGCAGGCAAGCAGTGAATTGCAATAAACATGTGTGTTTTGACCTACCCAGAGTCCATTTTTCCTGGGTTCACTCCCTGATTTTCTCAGTGGAACTACTCTCTTCTCCCCCCACCCCCCACCACACCCAACTTTTATTAGAGGTGAGTAAGTGAGTCTGATTTCACTTGCAGCTTCAGAAGGTCGACATCCACACAGACCCAAATAATTAGGACATGGCAACCCCCTGGTTTTAGCCATTGGTTCTGGACATCCTCATCTACAAGTTCATATTATGGCTAGTTAAATCAAAAGCAATAAGGTAGTTCTGGGACTGAGAAAGAGGCATTTTATTTCTGGCAGGGTTGCTGCAAATATAGAATAGAGTCCTGGAGTTTCTAGTACCTGTCATAAATGAAGCACACACCTGACAATGGAATTGAAATAGGTGACATGAGACTAGAGATGTTATAGAGAGTAAGACTCAGTCTTGGTGATACGGTTTGAACCACTTCATCTTGCCGAACCTAAAGATAATCAGTCTTTGAAATATTTCATCAGGTGAATCAATACTCCCTCCATTTTGCTCCTGTATTTATTTGAGAGGGGCAATCTTGTTTATGTTGAGTTTATTTCCTTCCCTGTTGAAAGAGTCTTCCACCCAAGAGCAATGAGAAGTCAGGAAATGGATTTACTCAGGAGAAGATGTGATCAGATTTGAGAATTTTGAAGATCAAGATTTGATTGAGTATCTCTTCTTGAACACCACTGAAACCTCTCCCATTTCATTCCCAAAATGTAATAAAGAAGAAGAGTCCTTCAGGTGACTTGTACCTATAACACACCCAGTGTTTATAGTGAGACCAAATGTAACTGAGGTTAGGGGTCATCTACATGGTCATCACCAGGTAGATGAATATTTTGTACACATCATTTTATTTACTCTTCTTTAATGGCCAAACAAAGTTAGGGTTCCCTTTACTTTGCAAATTTTATCCATGTGTATATTTATACATTTACTGAGCCAGTGAGCATTTCAAAAAAATGACTAAGTATCTGGCTCATTGTCTAGCTGTGGATTGAAAATTTTAGAAGACAGTTGGTAGAATTACTTTTTTTCCAAGACAGAAATATATTAAGTATTTTTTAATGAAAAGATGGAAGAAAATAGGCCCACCCATTGCTATAACTGTCTATGTTAAGATTAAAAATAATTTATTAGCACTATGTAACATGTACACATATTAATTAAGATTAAAAAGAACTGTTGGAATTTTCTAATGATGTTAGAAGTGTTCTGGCTCTGTTCTGATATACTGTATAAACTAAGATGCTTTACGTCATTTTTAAAATTTTAGCCAGTGGGTAAAAGTAAAGTATACAATCATTGATCACATTTTTAAAGGAATTTTATTCCCCTCCACTTTATCTCTTTCCCCCTCTGTGGGTGGGATTGTGGACATGATGCTATGAGCCAGTTCTGAACATGGGCCATACCGATGAGGCTAACATTTTAGAGGAGACAGAACAACAAGGTAGAGGTAACTTGAATCCTCAAATAATCTCCTGGATTGGAGCCACATACCTACCTTGTACCACACATGAGAAGTAAATAAACACTGTATTATCTAAAGCATTGTATGAGTATTTTGGCAGCTCTTTATTACAACAGCTTAGCATGTAACCTAACTACATATCCATCAAGTACAATGGATTATTATTTCCAAATAATCAGCCTGGTGTGCATGCATGCATGTGTGTCTGTGTGTAGCAGATTAGGTCATCAAAAACTAAATGAAATCTAACTTTTGTCTTATAATATGGAGGGAGTGCCCTCTATGGCCGTGGTTTTCAGATGCTAGGATGCATCAGAATTTTCTGGGTAGCTTATTCAAAAAGACAATTTAATTCTATCTAGCTATATATAGAACTTGAAACATTTAATTCTGTGTGTTCTAAAAATGCTTGAATTATGCCAAATTTTATTTAAAAAATGATTAAATTCTAGGGAGTGGCTGAGAATCTATAATTTATATCAGAAAGATATAAAGCAAGAGAAAGAATTTTGGCTGCAACATTCAGTCCCACATGAAAGAAAGCAAAGTTCTAAACTTCAAAGTAAGCAAACATCAGTTTAGAGATAGAATTGTCATTTTAGTATTTGTTTCTTGGGTGTTTCCACTACTTTCTAAAGCAGCAAGAGGTAAGAAAACAGACATGAAAAAGGAAAGGAAATACTAAACTTGACCTCTCAGTTCAAATTCTCACATCTACAGAAGATTTCAGAAACAATTTTACCTGATAAAGCCTTCAAGGAAAACAG